TTCCCCCCCCCCCCCCCCCCGGTTTCTGTTTCCTTAACGCCAAGGCCCGAAAGCGTCGGTGGACCTTTCGCCGCTGACGAAACAGATCGAAGCGCTTCAGAGGCGGGCGGAAGATTCTGAATGGGGCTTCTGGGATTCTGGCTGGACAGGCTTTAGGGCTCGGGGGCTTTCAGGCTAGTTAGGAATCGGGATAGGGTTTACGGGGTTGTTAAGCTTTGCGATACAGGTTGCAGGCTGTTCATGGGGCTAAGGGTGCTTCTAGGGCCCACCTTACACCCTAACCGTATGGAGCCGCAGTGGAAACCTTAGCACACCACGTTCCGGCTTCCGAGCACACCACATGACATTTGGTGCAATCATGCAGAAGGATTTCTGCGTTTGCGGATGAGAGGGCGTTGTGGGCGCAGAGTTTGGAGCTTCAGGAGTTAAGCTCTAGAGTTTGAGGGCTTTAGAATTTAGAGGTTTGTAGGGCTGACACAATTGATTAGTGCCTAAGCTTGAGAGAAGGTCCTTCAGGGAGAACATGAGCGGCACACACGCACTCTGTAGAGCCCTGAAAGTCTGTCCTATCACCGCAAACCTTCCAGGATCAGTTTGCTGTTTATTGAAGTGTTCGCAGCGCTTACATATGGGTCGCCGACTTGCAAGCCATGCGTCTATGGCAGATGAACCACACTTGCCGGCATTGCTTGTGTGATTATATTTTGATGGGATGACGGTTTCTACTACAGTACAGACAAACATGTAGTTTTGGAGCAGTGCTTACGTGGAGCGTGCCGATATCATATCGCTGACGACCGCAAAGCCCCTCAACCCTGAAGCCTAATAGTCTTATCGCTGGATTACGAGACCCTCTCCACAGGAATGTTGCGCAGATCTCCTCGGATCTCCAGCGCAGTCAGAAAGAGGCAGCACAAGGTTTTGCAGAGATGCGACAGGCGCAGCAGGCCCCCGGCCGTTCAAATTTTAAGCCTTTGGGGACTTGGCTTGGAGTATGTGGGGCGCGGTGGGGCAAGGGTTCTGAAGACTGCGGACACCTTCCCTGTAGGTCTTCATGTAAGTATAATTAAATTCCCAGCTTTCAGAGGATGAGACGTGCAGTGGAAGCAAGACATCGGATTCTCGTTACATCAGGAGCCTAAATGGTCCAGGATATGAATCCTAAACCGTATCGTGTTGCTTGAGCAGACCTCTACGGAGAAACCTCAAGTTTTTCGAAACTGTGGTTGGGACGGGTCTGAGGTCTGCGGCCCAGAGTCTAGGAAGCTCTGTCTCTGGACATCTGCGCTATTTTTACGTCTCCACCCATAACCCTAAAGCTTTTTGTTCTTACCCGTCTTCCCATTTGATCGTGCATCCAGAGTCCTTACCCCGGAAGTCTAGTCAACATAGGATCAGAAGCCGAAGAAAGCTTATTGTGCGCATGGACCGTCCATCAGTTCGGTTTTTTTTATCAAAGCTTCTTCAGAGAATGGTCTACCTTGCAATAGCTTGTATTGTTAAATGGTATGTGTTATATACCATAAACCATAGACAATATAGTTAACATACTTCAAGGACGATGACATTATACCATATTGTCATACATGGTTGGAACTACACAATATTACATTATATGACAATACATTATATTATACTACAACATGTTGTCCTATATTCTGTTATGCCATATTGTTTATTCTTCTTATGATATGGTTTGTTTTATATTGTTTTTAACATATCATATCATATTATATTGTTTATTCCATTCTATTCTATTCCCTTCTATTCTACCCTGTTATATGATATTGTGATATGTTACATTATGTTGTATTATCCTTTTATGCTTGTGTTCTTGGGATCACACCTGCCAGGACCGGAGATCGATGGACGAGGAGATGCTCCTGGCGCTGAAGGAGCCGAGACTTTAGGGCTTATATAATTTCCAGGCTTCATAAGCGTCAGACGTCGGATATTCATAAACGGATTAGGGTTTAGGGTTCAGGTTTATAAGTCTCAATCGAAAAGTATAAGAATCCAAAACCGTAACGTCGAGTGCAAGCACTGCAGATGACATTCGAATGAGAAGCGGGGCTGGTCGCCCGGGGTTGTCAGTTTCAGCGCTCCGGATGCTGAAAATCGTTTGGCCCGACTCATCGTTTTGCTGGGAGTGGATTTGGGCTGACGGCTTCGGACTCGGAGTACGTCAGCGCCCAGGCCATGGAGATTTGCTTGTAAACGTCCTTCCCAGTTCATCACGAGCTGTGAGAAGCAATGTGCAGGACTTGCTTGAGATTGCAGCAGGAGAGATGGTGTCTCGGCTGGCCTGTTGAGCAGGGAAGCATACTACTGCAATTAGGGGCATAGGTTCGCACGCCGTGTCTTTGTGGACTGAGGATGGTGGCCATGGCAACAATGGCGTTGTCCCCAACGTGAACCAGGGCGTGCCCCACAACTCGGTGCACACCCTAAGGGCCGCACCAACTCCTTTGAATCCAAACCTAATCAATTCCGAGCCCCCGGCGGTGGTGCAACCTGTTCCCGTGCAGGCGCCCATGCCTGTCCCCGTGCAGGCCCCCGTGCCTGTTCCCGTGCAGGCTCCCGTGCCTGTTCCTGTGCAGGCCCCTGTGCCAGCCCACGCCACGCCAGAGCCTGTGCCAGCACCAGGCGCATCCGCGCCTGGCCCTTTCGGTGCCAATTCTACGGCGACTCCCGTGCCCACCACACCCGAGATGGCAACTGCAAAGGACCCCTTTGCAGCAGCAAGGCAAACTACCCCAGAGCCTGTGCCAGCACCAGCCGTAACCACGCCGCTTTCAACCGCACCGGGCTTTTTCGGTGCCAATTCTTCGGCGACACCCGTGCCCACCACCCCTGAGATGGCGAATGCCAAGGACCCCTTTGCTGCAGCACGGCAAACTACCCCAGAGCCTGTGCAAGCACCGGCCGTAACCACGCCGCTTTCAACCGCCCCGGGCTTTTTCGGTGCCAATTCTTCGGCGACACCCGTGCCCACCACCCCTGAGATGGCGAATGCTAAGGACCCCTTTGCTGCAGCAAGGCAAACTACCCCAGAGCCTGTGCCAGCACCGGCCGTAACCACGCCGCTTTCAACCGCCCCGGGCCTTTTCGGTGCCAATTCTACGGCGACTCCCGTGCCCACCACCCCTGAGATGGCGCATGCGGTTCCAGAGGCTGTACCCATGCAACCCCCTGTGCCTAACCCGGCGCCGGCTACGCCGGAACAGATTCCTACCCCCATGCAAACCCCATCGTCCTTGAATGGGGGCTCGTCACTGTTCAACAATGCTGCTTGCCTGCTTTGGGGCTTTGTTTTTCGAGAACCTGCTTTGTTGTGCTCGCCTGCACATTGCAAGACAGCTAAGGACAAGATGAAGGAGGACTGGCCGCAGGGGTCCTTGATGTTGCTCTACTGATGTTGTCTCTTTCTTGTTTTCTCTCCCTCCCTCTCCCGTCTGGCGGACTCTGTTTCTTTCGGTATCTCTACGTCCCTCTCCCTCCCTCCCTGCCTACCTCCCTCCCTCCC